TTTTTCCGGAACCCGCCGCTCTCGGTAGGCTTCAAAAGTCAAACGCAGTTGCTCGCTGTCTAAGACGCAAATGCCAGGTTTGGTCCCACTTGACACCTGAAAGAGCTATTAATTGTTCAGGCTCGAAGAGCAACTAATGGATATGCTACAAGCTTTGTGTTTCTGACGGCGAGGAACATAGATACGGGTGTTGAGGTTCAAGTGTGTGCAAATTACCTCCAATACAAAATAAAACGGATCGCATCGGATGTGGAGAGTGCGGTGAGTGTTCATGCCAGTTCCTTCTTCTGCTATGTCGTTCAAGTAGTGTACCGAAATACTCCATTACTTGATAGCACGTAGGTTGAATTAAGGTTGACTCTTGATAAAGGGGAGTACTCCTTCTTGACAAAAAGTCACGAATGCAAGGAATATTCAAAAAATAGACTTTGACAGTGATTGATTATGATTATGATAAGGGTGAGTACCACGGTGTTAGACGGCAAACTACGAATACGTGTGCAGCACTTGAGCTAAGTGGCGTGGTAGTGCGAGTATGAAATGATTCTATTAGTCGTTGCCGTTTGAGGCAACAATTGGTCAAAGCCAACAGAACAAAGCTCTTTCTATACCACAAATTCGGGGAACAGAACACTAGCGGTGCACTTTTGTACGATGCCAAAAAAGCCACTGAACTAAAATCTCGACTTGTAGGCGCTCAAAGTGAAGGTGTACGGACAGTGGTAAGGCCTGCGATGCTCTACGGCAGCGAGTGCTGGCCCCTGAACAAGAATCACGAAAGGCAGCTTCACTCCGCTGGAATGAGGATGCTGAGTGGGCCTGCGGCTGGACACGACTTAGCAGGGTAAGACGAGAAGGTTGTCATGCATGCTCCTTTCGAGGTGAAAGCGGGAAAGCACTGACTGCGATGGTTGGAAGACACGTGCTAAAGGCCACGGGATTACTCGTTAAGAGAAGCAATAGAATTTGAAGCGCAGTGGAAACAAGTGGAGACACACAATTAGGAAGGACTTCACTAAGTTTCACGGTAGATGAGCCCTGGGCAGGACCAGATAGCGACGCTTAAGAAGAATTGCGGACTCTGCGACTGCGCCTAACGCTGGAGAGAAGAAGAATTACCGATGCGGTTTTTGAGGGACAGCTGTCCAACGGACAAAGTGCCTTGGACAGCCTATAGAACTTACGTATGTTAAATTTATTCATTTCTGTTCATCTACCACTTCAAAACGCCGGGTTAGAACAAACCACAACCACTTCGGAGTCTGAGAAGAGGGTTGGAGCAGCGTGAATACGGTATATGCGTGGGTTCTTTTGGGAGGAAAAAAATGTCCCTTCTCAATACCCGATGCTCTGCTTTTCCGAAAGATCAACAGGTCAATTCGGCGAATGAACACCGCCCATCACTGCATTCAACTGGAAAATTCTGAGGTCAAAACTGCTTCCCATATCTGCTGAAGGATGCTTTGAAGTAACAATAAGTCATGAAGGTTTTGTCCCAAACTGTTCCGCAAGCTGCCCTTGTCGAAAGTGCCACTCACCGCACACACAAATTCCTCGCACATAATCAGCAGGCATATGTAGGCTAACACTGATGCACTGATGATGTCAAAGCATTTCTAGCTGCCGGGAAGAACAAGTCCTGCCTTTAAGTCCGGATCAATACACATTGCGCATTCGCTTCATAACGACGTTCAAAGAGCTCATTTAAAGGAAAGACCTGTTGGCCTTCCCTGCTCACCACTACTGAGCTAGGCCTTACCGCTAACAAGTCATTTAGAAACACCCTTTTCTAAAAAACAATCCCAAGACAGATAAGGCACCTTCAAAGAGTGGTAGGATAACGATCACCTAATACTTACCTTGATCATCACTGAATAATTTTGGAAAACCAGTGATCAAGCAATTGGTACAGTAACCACTGCTGTCGAGCCATTTTGAGCCTAAAAGGAACTTAGGGGGAAACTTCTCAACAGCGAGATAAAAAATACTCCTAATCTGGTATCGGAATTCGCGATCCGTCGCGCGTTCTCAGACTCTGGCACCAGCTTTACCCACACTAGGCAGCTTTGAGATAAACAACAAACCAAACCATCCTTATGGCAAAGTTGTTTGTCATAGTAGATATTTGCAAAAAGCATTACTCGCTACTCAGTGAGAAAGCGTGCTTGTAAAGATATTATATGATGCATTAGTACTATGACGCAAAATTTACGACAACTTATTCGCACACAGTGGTGTTAGTAACAGCTCACAGTTACCCAAAGTCAAATGCGACTTGATTGATTTGGAATTAAAAAGGACAAGAGAATATTGATTATACACTTAGCTTTTAGGGATCTCACTCCTCATGCCCGCGACTTACAACACTTGTGTAATCTGAACAAAGATCCACAAATGTCAAAACTTGTGTACATTAGGAAACAAACATTCTCCAACCAAAACGCGGCGATTGATAGACTTCATCGAGAATTTTCAATCTCAAGATTTGTTCGTTTTAGAGACCGGCACCCTGCACTATCAGAGTCCATTAACAAGAAACTTTACTCCAGCTAATTCCTGCGAAGCTCTATCATTATATGTCGTGAACTTAATGGTTTGGGAAGAAAGTTGTCGAAATCTGAAGGTCTGGATGAGTGCAAAAACGACGAAAAATATGGAAGGCTGCATAAGCGGAGTGGAGGGGGAGAGGAGAGGGGAACCCACGCGAGCTATAAATTAGTTGTAAGAGTGCCTAGTTGAATCTGCAAGATCAGATAATCACATTTGTTTACCAGCCATTTATCCTTCACTCCTTTCCTTCTTCCTCGGTCCCGGCTTCGTGCTATCACAGTTGAGAGACGCTGCGCCGCCGCGTGGTTCACTCACGTTCACCTCACTTAGCACCCGGTGCTTTGCACTGTAGGTCGCCAGGACAAAGCCACATTTCGCAGGACGAAACTCCGCTGCGGATAACTCCAGGTCCACCCCTCATCCATGAGAGACCTCGATTTTTTTTCACTGTGCGCACGAAGTAGCTTCTCCTGCATAAGTTAAAGAAATTCAGATTTCTCGCTTAGGCTTGTTCGAGAGTCCGCGATTTTTGCGCGATTTTCGCGATTTGTCGCGATTTTCGCGATTTGCGCGATTTTCGCGATTTTCGCGATTTGCGCGATTTTCGCGATTTGCGCGATTTTCGCGATTTTCGCGATTTTCGCGATTGATCACAGGCAAAGTTGAAAGAGCCCAACTGAGTCCCTCGAGGTGTTGTTTAATCCTGCTGCGAATTCTGCTTGGCAGTAAAGATTGGAAGACGAATGTTTGTGGTTCTACTTGTTTCATGTTCAATGTCTATTAGTTCATTGAAATGCTCTTGAATCGTTCCTATTTTTTTTTCAGGAATCAAACAAACCAATCACAAAAATTGCAAGTGCCCCATTTGAACAATTGAAACACTGGATATGAAACAAGTGGAATCATGAGCAGTCTCCATTAAACCCTTTGACAACAATGCGGATTTGCACGCAGCGTGCTCGTGGGAGCACGCCTCTTTTTGACGCGCCCAACTCTCGCACAAAATGGGCAAAAAATTGTCCCAAAAGCAGTTTTTCTATCAAAATTTTGA